AATGCCTGAAGTTAAAAATATTTCCACATTAAACTGCAAGAAGGTAAAACAGGGGAAAAAAACAGCGAGAAAAAGCCAGCTAATTCTGAAAACATCTTCACATTCTCTTATTCAGCAACCTCCTAGTTCCCGAAGAGAGACCGGGATCCAGCCAGTCATTATAGTTGACAACTGGTAGTCCAATACATCATTAAATATATAAAACACCCTGGAATTGAATATTAAATAGTAGTTTAAACTGTCAATTTCTCTACGTAATGGCTGATGAAAAGCTGATGGATAGCATTAGACCTCCCCTGTGGCACACTGCCAAAGGCATCTGTCCCTGTTTCAATGAATTTCAGTCAGGAGTTCAAGGCTGTCCATGACAAAGGTACTTGTTAATAAGTTTTCACTATAGACCAGCCTTTCTCAGCCTTGGTCCCCATGTGTTGATGGACTACAACTCTGAACCTCCCTAACCACAAGGACCAGTGGTCAGGGATGATGGAAGTTGCAGTCCAACAACATCGGGAGAACCAAGCTTGAGATAGGCTGCTATAATTATATATGAAAATACGTCCTTTGTACTCATTATTAACACCTGCTTCACGCCAGAAACTTTGGGCCTCTGACCACATCTGTAAAAAATGCAAATTGTTACACCCTAGTAGGCCCAGTTTCAAGTTCAGCTTCGTCAGTGGATAGTATTAAAAATGCAAGCATTTGCAGTGGAAAGTTTTGCAACAGGCAAATATGTTAGATCCATTAATAATTCCTAGGGGAGCAGGACACATAATAAAGTGTAGCTTTGTAACAGATCCATATTGGCTGGAAAACTATTATTATATATGTAGAAAATGTGGCAGTTGAAACAATACCCTGACTTTTGCCTTCATGTTCTGCGAATTTAAATTACTGTAGTACAACTTGGAGAACACTGCTTTGCACTAAGCAAAGGTGAGGTTGCATTGTTCTTTGTTTTTCCTAACTAACATAAATTACAGTATATACAAGTGCTGGTGAAGAAGTTTTTTTATTTTTTTAAAAAAGTCTTCTGCTACTATTTCCAGAACACATGTGACTACATCCATCTACTAATGGGAAAGCCAGAATAACACAAAAATCCTGAGTGAAGAGAGGTCAAGCTCACATCTTTCATGTTATGGTACATGCCCCATTTGGCTTCATTTAATTGTTTTGCAGAAATTTGATTGCACGCACTCATGCAAAAAATCCTCCAACAATGCAAATACTATCAAACTTGCACTGAAGGAACTGTTCTAAAAGGCAGGCTGTTTGCTTTGGAAGCAGAAACTTGGAACAGCAAAACACAATCTGTAAAGTCCATTATACATTTATATAATGTAAAATGACTCGCCATATCTCTTCTCTTTTCCCTGAGATTTGGTGCCTAGAAGCACAGTTAAACTCTAGACAAACAGTTCACAGGAACATCTGCAAGCCATAGAACCGATTTTGTATGATGCAGCTCTCTGAGATCCAGCCAATGAGAGGGTAGAGCCTGAGTTGCAGCCTAGCTGTATTCCAATAGGGGAAAGGGTCCCACAATCAATAGTGGATCACATAATAGTGGAGCCCCTTTTAAAAAGAATATTTGGACTCAATGTGACTGCATACTCACTCTTGCCCCTAGCACACATATACATCACACACTCACCACACTTACTGACCATTTAGCTGCAAAGAGAGCAAAGCAGATAGAGAAAATGTAAGAGGCTATCATCCAAACCAGGGGTATGCAACCTAAGGCCCGGGGGCCGGATACGGCCCAATCGCCTTCTCAATCCAACCTGCGGAGGGTCCGGGAATCAGTGTGTTTTTACATGAGTAGAATGCGTTATTTACAATGCATCTCTGGGTTATTTGTGGGGCCTGCCTGGTGTTTTTCCACAAGCAGCTTGTGTGCTTTTATTTAAAATGCATCTCTGGGTTAGGGTTAGGGTCTGGCCCCCCACGAGGTCTGAGGGACAGTGGAGCAGCCCCCTGCTAAAAAAGGTTGCTGACCCCTGATAAACCCTATATTCCAACCTCTCTCTAGCACTATAGCAGAGAAGGTGTTGGACTGAATCCCCACCCCCACCTTGATTTCAAGGTTCTGGGGGGGGGGGTGTAAATTGGGCCACGGAGGACTGGCAAGCAATCAACAAAATCGTGTGGCAAATCAGATCCAGCCTATACACCATGAGTTTGCCGCCTCTGCTCTAGCCTATCAAACCTCAGGTAACATAAAAATATGTGTAGCTGCTAATGTGCCACAAGACTCCTTGAAAAAAAGTCATTATTCCTTAATTTGTTAGACAGAAAATAAGCATTTTACTGGCCAGGATCCACACTATCCCCACATCTAGAGGCTGTGCAAGAAGATGGTAATGTATATGCTGTTTCATTTGTACAAAACATGTAATTTTGGCTGGTGGGAAAACAACCGTCTTAAATATTTGAAAGGGGGAAAGATTGTGTCAAAACCTACAGAATTAATCCAAGGTTAAAAGTTATTTGTAAAAACAAACAAAGAAACACAAACAGGCTATACTGAAGCTTCAGCTCCATAATGTCATCAGATAATGTGTGTTGATAAATACATGTAATATTGTTGCACTATCTTAGTGTGATGGGAAGGGTCATAGCACAGTAGCACGGTACATACTTTGCATGCAGAATATTCCAAGTTCTATTCTTGGCATCTCTAGGCATGAGTAGGAAAGATTCCTTTCTGGAAGAAACCACTGACAGCCACTGACAGTCAATGCGGGCAAGACAGAGCTAGATGGGCTAATAGTCCTATTTTTTACTCCACCCGTCCCTTTTTGGAGGGCAGGCTTACGTTCACACATAATAAATAAATAAATAATGCAGTACTATTTATTACCAGATGGAGTTTCTTTTGCTATTATAACAAAAAATCAAATGACTTGAAATATTACTACTAGTTATAAGCGACACAATCCCGTGTAGGTCAAATTAAATAGGGCTGCCATACGTCCAGAAATCAGCAAAATCTGGACGTATGACAACCCATGTTGTCAGTGTTGTTTTCGCCAACTTTCCCTAAAAGTAGCTAAAAAATGTCAATTTTTTGCTCAACAACTTCGCCCCCCCCCCATTAAAAAATCACTGTTTGAAATGTGGCAACCCTAAATTAAATTAATGCTCCTAGGAAATTTCATTTAGGATTGCTGTCTTAGGAACAATATGCATGAAACTACACATCTTATCTAAATGTGTGGTTTCTTGCAGTGGGAAAAATCTGTTTAAAGTAGTCTGAAATGTTGATCACAGGCACAGTGCATAAATCTGAATGAGGGAAATTGGATTTTAACATGAAGAGAAAGGAATTCTATAAAGCTAACTACCTCATCCTTGACGCAGCAACTTTTGACCTGCTCTCTGGGAATTCTCTTGTATAACAAATGTATATACTCACACTGTTAAGTTGCTTCTGGAAAATGCTCACTGAAGGTAAATGACTGCCAGAGAAGATCTCATTTTCACTGCAGAGCTTACAACTTGTCTCACAGTGTGTGTGTGTGTGTGTGTGTGTGTGTGTGTGTGTGTGTGTGTGTGTGTGTGTGTGTGTGTGTTAAAGAACATGGTGAATAACAAATATACAGGAAGACTGGTCTCATACTGAATATGCTGATACTTAATAAAAGACTTTACAGGACAAGCATACTTAATGGTTAGCATACTCTACAGATGAGGAAATACACAAAATACACCCCACCCAATCCACAAATCCTTGCACTCAGCAAGTAGGACTCATATTGCTGGGTGCAATGATCTGTGCTAGCAGGAATGTAGTATGCAAGGTATACATGCATCCGCTGCATCCCACACAAAACGGGGGATTAATGCCACTGGAGCTGATCCCTACAACCACATTCACATGGAGAAAAATTTAGAATGAGTTGTTCTGCTATCTTTGAACATTTGGCAATACTTTGTAGGCAACATGTCAAAAATGCTATATCATGAGCACAAACTGTTTATGAAGCATTTTATCCTCCACCCCTGATCCCAAAAGGAATAAAGCTAAAAAAATCAATTACAGCACTGAAAAGCAATGAAGAACATAAAAAATGTACACTCTGTAACTAGTCCACCACCTTTAATAATATCTTGTTTGATTTTCCTCCTGTAGTTAACTGCAAATAAGTCCCGTATTTCTAAAAGCACCATTATACAAGGCTATATGTATAGCAAGTTCTTCACCCCCCACCCCCCGCATTCCTAATCTGAAATGTGCCAATTGATTTAATTGTTTTGTTTTACACAGATTCCTCTCTGTAGCTATTCCAGGAAATGTTTTGAAATATTAAAGTACAGTGGTACCTCAGGTTAAGAACTTAATTCGTTCTAGAGGTCAGTTCTTAACCTGAAACTGTTCTTAACCTGAAGCACCACTTCAGCTAATGGGACCTCCTGCTGCTGCTGCACTGCTGCTGAACGATTTCTGTTCTTATCCTGAAGCAAAGTTCTTAACCCGAGGTAATATTTCTGGGTTAGCAGAGTCTGTAACCTGAAGTGTATGTAACCTGAAGCGTATGTAACCCAAGGTACCACTGTACAAGTTCAAATTAAATACTTAAAATCATTTTTCCATGTAAGAGGGTTATGTGGAAATGCTATGTGAAACACATTAAAATGGGTATGTGCTCATTTAAAAAAAATCAATTTAACCCTAGAGATTATGGATGAGCGGAACCAATCCATCACCACTATATCCAGTTCATATGAGATATTCTTCATGTTCCTCCCAAACAAGAGGGTCCAGAGGGTGCAACACAAGAATGGGCCTTTTCTGCAGTGGTTCCCTGTTTGTGGAATGATCCTCCCAGGAAGGTTTGGCTGGTGCTTTCATTATATACCTTGAGGCGACAGGTGAAAAGGTTCCTCACATACCCCTTTCAAATGTGTTTGTGGGAGGGAGTGGGGTAAGGGGCTTATTGGTTGCCCCCCCCCTTTCTTCTTGTTTTTCTTATGCATTTTGTGCTTTTATGTGGCATCTCTATGTTGTCAACTGCCCTAACATGTACGGATGAAGGCTGGTATACATATTTAAGAATAAATTGAAAATAAAATAAAATAAGGACTTCTACCAGGCACCTGAAATTAACCCTTTTAAACAACTGATCCATTCCATTCTGGTAAGATATCTAGGCCTCCCTGGGAGTGATGGCACCTAGAGGCCTGCTTGAGGCCTGCTTATGGCAAATGCCACCCTTCCTAACTTACCAAAGTGGAGGGGCAGCAAGGAGGACATTCAGTAGGGTTTCCTTTTTCCTCTGAATGTTGCCACATCTGCACAGCAGGACACACAGATGCCTGAAAACCATGGAAAAGGAGTTCATAGTGTCTCCATATCCTGCTGTGCATGTGTCTATAATGTACTATAATATCTAGAGACAATAGGGAACATTTCCCACGATTCCCAGCATTAGTACACCGTGAGCATGAACAACGTTAAAGGCATGAGGCCCTACTGTGCTGTTTCCTGGAAACTATCTAAGCTATCTTCTCCCACAAACACTTTGGTAAGTTTGGGAAATGTGGGATTCCTCTCTTCCATTTTCACTCCACCACTAATAAATGCCCTTATTCAGAAATACGCATGTAGAGTTGGGCTGCCCACACTGCGCGCATCTCATTGATTAGTCAGCATAATCAGATCCGAAAGTATATCTAAGTCTCACTGTGCAGGGGAGGAGGTAATTATCACTTAATCTTGTCAGTATGACCATCTGCTCAGTGCTATACTGTGGTTTCAGCCCAATCACTCAAACAGCACAGCCTCACATCATAGATGCCAGATCCAGCCATAAGAATCACCCACACAACCCCTATTGGCTCATGTTGTTCCTCAGCCTGACAAAGGTTTGCGCCTGGGAGCAGGGGTTCTTGTTGTGCCCCACCAACTTCCTGTGACAGAACCAGAGGAGGAGGATCACATGAAGCTCAAGTAGAGTCAGTGAAAACTAACAAACTCCCTGTTATTACAATCTGAGATCATGTTCCAGTTGGAGAGGCTACAGATCAAGGATCACCAATCTTTTTAGGCCAGTGGGACCATTTGGTTTTTTGAGTGAATTGCTGTGGCCTCTGGTCATTTCTTTCCTCCCTCCCCTAGATAGAACTGCTGAAGAAAAAATGCCAGTTTTTTGCAAACAGATGCAGGAAAGTATCATTAGGACCTCAGGGTAGAAGTTAAATAGTTTATAGTAAAGTGTTCTGTATATAAAAGAAAGTCAGTCAAGCAAGCAGGACTCCTGAAGGATGGCAACACCAGTAAAAAAAAGTGGGAAAAGAGAGCAACGGTGGATGAGGGGAGGGGAGGTGTGTCAGAAGAAGAAAGGATTCATATTGCTTTACATATATGCATTAGAAATTTTGTGTTAATGTAACAGCTGTATATGTAACAGCATTTTTGTTTTTAAAAATGCTGTTTAAGTTGTCTGTTGTTGCTTTAGTTTTCTGTATACCACTTAGACTTATATTTTATATTAAGTAGTATAAAAAGGTAAAGGTAAAGGGACCCCTGACCATTAGGTCCAGTTGTGACCAACTCTGGGGTTGTGGCACTCATCTCGCTTTATTGGCCAGAAATAGTCTAAATAAAACAAGATTATTGGCCAGAAATAGTCTAAATAAAACAAGATTAAACTGCAATAGTAGTTCAGGTATCTGTAAAAATCAGAAAAAACATAGTAATCTCCATCCACCCCTCTCCCCAATGCTCTTCATCTGAGTTTTGTTAGAACGCTAAACATAAACTTCAATACATTGTAAGCTCAAAAAGTAAGGTAATTTAATAAAAGAAAAACAGTTTTATTAAGTCCTTATTACTTCCACTTCATTATCTGTTCAATTGGTGGATTATCTAATATCATTAATTTTAACACAGATCAGAGACAATGAATACTGGATTAGTCTTTTAAATGTACGGCATCACCTCATCTTTTGCTAATTCTCTGTCACTTTGCAATATATTTTAGTAATAAAATTCTCAGAGATCATACCCAGAAACAGAAAAAGCAATGGCTGGAAAATGTCAATGATAGGCAACCTTATATTAATATTGTTTAATACTTCTATGGAATTATTTTGCTCATACATAGTAATTAAATTTCAGATGAGAAGAAAGCTGTTAACAATTCCTCCTTCTTACGTACTTTCTTTTTGGATGGGAAAAATAGGAAGCAAAACAAGTTGCTGACACAATTCAATTTTATAGCAGAGTCTCCTTTTCATTCTGCCAATCAACTCTTCATCTGGATTTACTCCTGTATGCATTAGCAATGAGCAAATATAAAAGTCGGTTTCTCAGGTGTCACTCCAAACTGGAAGGCAATTCTGTCTGACCAGTAGGAGGCAGATAATAGCAAAGAACTTCCTTGAAGGCACTCCTTAGGATGTCACATAGCCCACCTCTTCAGAAACTTTCTTGTCTAAGCAGGAGATGGAAGTGCTTTTATGAGATATATGTGGTTTTTAAAAGAGCTGCTTTGAAGAAAAGGAACTGGAATTTTTTTTCTAACTAAAGAATGACCATCTTCTCAGAGTCAAAGTGAAGAAGACCTCACTGTCTCACACAACCCTCATTAATTTGGTAAATTCAGAGTTGGTTAGGTAGGAAAATTTCCCTATGCTAAGACTGTAGAAAGGAGCCAGCCATCCAAAGCTCCTCCATTCATTTGTTTAACCCCTTTAAAATCCCTCTAAAGTGGTTTTAGTGGTTCGGCATCTAAAAGAAAAGTCCTATTATCATGATTAGATACTCGGGGTGGTATTCCATTATGTATTTGCACTAGCACAATGAGACCACTTCCCTCCCAAAAAAATCTGTCTTGGAGAGTGGAGGGAAATGCCAGAACAGATTTAGAGGACATGGGAAAGGGAAGGAGCAGAACGTTCTGCTGCTCAAGGAGAAATCCTTGCACCAATAGAACATTCTTCTTAAAGCTATGTTGAGTACAACCCTTTGTTTTCTGCAGAGTAATACTACCATCACCTGTTATGTGTCTGAGAGTTACAACAACCTTATGAGATGACTGCACATTTGGACATCCTAGTCTGCTGCTTAGAATGGAATCTGTGTCTTGGAATAGGGAAAGGATCCTTCTTGTTACTGAGGTGTCAGTGTTTTATATGTTTGTTAATTATTGCTTGAATTCAAATAGTCTGTTTTCAGCTAGTTACTTTATTTGGAACCAGAAGGAAGGGTGATCCAAAGGAGAACCTTACGGAAAATTCTTCTTGATGCCAGAGAACATTATGGTGGTGATCTGTATCCAGAAGAATTTGATGTCCCTCTTGCCAGGGACCAATCACTACCTGGTAGAGTTTGGGCTCACTGCAAGGTTCCATAACCTCTGCAGAACTCTCTTTCTTGTCCCCATTAATTTTATTATTTTAAAATTTTGTAAATCGTACCTTCACACAAATATGGATTCCACAGTGGTATACATAAAAATTCCAAACGTTAACACAAAATTAAAACAGACGCTATCAAAACACAATAAAACATCAGAGGCAAGAAACTGACTGCCCGCAATAATCTACAGTACAAATTCAAGCTTTCAATTGAGGGGACAAAATGCATTGTCAAGACGCACTGCTGTTTACTCTGCAGTCATCTTTGACGGTGCACTTGCGTTCAGACTATGATACAAAATGGTCTAGATTGTGCGGCATGGCTGTAGTGTGTATGGTTTCAATTTGAAGGCCTTTTGGCCTCTTCCAGATCCATGATTCTATAATTGCCATGACTGACTCACAGCTGCTAGGCAGAAATTTATACCTGTGGTGATGTTTCATCTCATCTCTAACTATTGTTTTTCAGATCTTTTACAAAAAGAAGTTTTGAAGAAACCCTTAGTTTATTTACACACTCTGCCCTGCTTTAAAAAGTTATTTTAAAAAGTTATTCAACTTCAAAAAGTTATTTGATACAGAGATGCATACAGCTGTCACTAAGGAAAGAAACTTTCCTTTGAATTCAAACACTCTTTTCATGCATCACTCACATGTAGGGTAATCATAAGATACTACGGGGAGCATACATGGCTGTGCTGCTGGCACTGAACACGGTGCCCTCAACTGGTCCTATCCCACTGATGTTTATGTACCCCACATGGACATCTGCAAATAAACATCTGCTTAAGCTGCTTATAAAGAGACACCCATTTGCAGACTTGGTGCTTAACGTGTGAACAGCAATGGGGCAAGGCCAGTGGGAAATGGAACACTGTAGGTGCAGTCTTGCTTCCTGTTGTATCCATGATTGCTGAGAATATGAGTAGCATGTGAAAAGGGCTAGAGAAAAAGGGAAATTGATGTCACTCAGGTGACAGGTTTCTTCTCCCCATAATGAACTAGACAACACTGAACTCTTATAGAATGAACAATGACAATACAAGATGTATGTGACCTAAAGCATGATACATAACAATCATTATCACTGATACCTAGTTGATGCCCAATAACAGAAGTCCATAATTAAGGTCAGCATGTCATTAAAGACACAAACTATGTGATAGTGATAGACCTGTACTGTAAATGCACAACTAAAGATCTAAAGATAGGTGTGAGAGTGGTCACGTGGGTGAAAACAGCCGAACACCAATACTAAGAAAGCTCTAACCCCTGCAGTCCATCCCCTTAAATCCCTTCTTCCTTAACCAGGCTCTGATACAGGAAGTAGGGCTAATACATTCTGAGAGATGTCAGTGTGGGAACAGTTTTGTATGACAGAGAGATACTATGACAATATTTTTCCAATAAAGAATAGCATACATATTACAGTTGCCAATAAAATTGTAAAAATAACTAATATAGCCGTATTATAACGATACAGCACTACACAATTCCGCTCTTCAAAGACTGTGTCGTCTCATACTCTTTACATTTAAAAGATACAGTGGTACCTTGGTAGTCGAATGGCTTAGTTGTCGAACAAATTGGCTACTGAACGTCGCAAACCCAGAAGTGGGTGTTCCGGTTTGCAAACGTTCTTTGGAAGCTGAACGTCCGATGCAGCTTCCGCGGCTTCTGATTGCCGCTTCCGGAAGCCGCACCTTGGTTTTTGAACCGTTCCCGGAGTCAAAAAGACTCCTGCAACTGATTAAATTCGAGACCCAAGGTACCACTGTATTGTGAAAGTGTCAAGGTAAAAGGACGGGACTACCATACATTCTAAGTGCCCCAATTTAAGTGGGACAAGCATGTTTTCTTTGAAGGTGCCCCAGTCTCTGCCTTCATCCTGGCCTGCCCCAATTTCATGTCACCTGTGGATGGGGACTGTAGAAGCGGCTCCTGTAGCGGCAGAAGCATTGTAAAGGAGCATTTTCTAGCCTTTGGGAAGAAGGTATGAGGCTCTGACAGGATCCTGCAGCCCTTCTGCCTCCTTCCCAAAGCCAGCAAGCACTTACAGGGCTTTGGGAAAGAGGCAGAAGGGCTTTCACACCCTGTCAGAGCATCATGCCTCCTTACCTAAGCCAGGCAGAAGCTTACTGGGTTTTGGGAAGGAAGTGCAAGGCCCGGGTCCTGATTTTTATTAGTAGAATGTTGGAGCTTATGGACTAGCTTTTAAAATAATATCATAACTCCTGGCACATCTTCCTTTATTTAGAAGCAAATATTCTGATTTATACACCTGCTAAGCCACAGTGCTTAGCTTTTAAGATAGTCTATTATTCTCATTAATTTCCAAGGGAATCAGCTTGCTTGAATCTCAGCATTGTATCTTAACTGATTTGTGGACTATGTGGTCAGCTTCTCAAAATTAGAAAGAATGCTGAGTAGAGGAGCTCATAGAGGGAAGAGAGAAAATTAAAAGATTAATCTTTTCACTACTCATTATCATTGTTTACAGCTTTCATTTATCTCTGTTCAGGTGATAAATAGACTGATCTGTTGCACTTTTGTTATACTCAATTTCTCTGGATAAATAAGCCTTAGTACTTCTTGTATTTGATTGTTTCCTTCAGAGACAAGGCTAGCCAACTTTGCTTGGAATACTTAAATTCTAGAGGAGGAGCTGTTTTTCTGACTTTGCGCAATCATGCATATTTCAAATTCTGATAGGCTTCTCAAGGGTCCCCATCTTTCTGTTCTGTGTTTTTAACATTGCTTCAAAGTTAATACTGTTTAAGTATTCATTGTTTGTGCAGCTGCTAGCAAGCAAACTCAAACTTTAATCATCATCATCATCATCATCATCATCACAATAATAATAATAATGATCACAATTCTCAGCAAGAGTAATCTAGTAAATTGAGTGAGATACTTTATATTTCTCAAGAAAGGATTAAGTATACCTTTACTGGAGATTCTTTATGGGGTGACTCTTCCACTGGTATCTGTCACATTTTATTTAGCCTTACTTTTATTTTGTCTAATATTTGTGAGTTTTCCGTATTTACTGCCATGTTGACCTTAGCAAAAATTGTAAATGTGGGATTGTAGTCAACTTTTACCCATAGTAGACCCATTAAAATTAATGGCCATGACTAACTTAGGTCTATTAACTTTAGTGGGTCTACTCTGAGTAAAATTTATTTGACTACAAGAAGAGACAACTGTGGAAATCTTCTGGATAGGATGGCCTGTTGGTTGTTTGTTTGTTTGTTTGTTTGTTTGTTTGTTTGTTTAATACATCAATAGATAATTTGAGATTGAGAACGAAGGTTAGTTCTTATTTTTACAGGGCTTATTTTTGCCTACACATTTGAAATGGGCCTCAACCATCAGAAAAATAATTGTTTTATCGGTTTGGAACAGCAAACAGCCAGAAGTCAGCAGTAAAGCACTTGAGATCACTGTACCTTGAGTCCCACCCTCCGTCCCTCACACACAAACACACACACAGTGCTAGAGACGCTTATAGCACACTAATGAGAGCACTGGTATAAAGGAAGTGAAACTCTTTTACAAGCCCACTGAAATCCACAGTTCCATGAAGTCTTTGTTGGCAACAATCACAAAGGATCTTGGAAGTCATATAAAACCAAAAGTTACCAACGCCAACATACTTAAAAGCACTAAACCAGTCAGTTGCTCCATCTTTTCAAAGAGTCAAATCCTTATTGGTGATCCATATACTCATATGGAAACGGAAGAGGGAGGAGGAATACTTGCATCTTGCTTTATTCAGACACTACAGCCAACAAATGTTTTTCTAACCAGAAATTACCTCCATTTATTTTATCTAGACATACTTCTGAAAGATGAAGCTATTTTTTATATATAAAAAAGAAAACAAGCAGTAAGTGTTTCATATTAATGTACAATACTGTAATACATTAGCAATTTTCCATTAGTGCAAGTACATCTATAACAACTCAGCAAGAAAGATATACACCCTCATGGCTCTTTCATTTAAAGACAGAATTACAGGAAAATAAATAATAACTATTTGTTCTGCAATGCAAGAACATCAAGGCACCACTGGGTATCAAACAACCTCAGGGAAAGAAATATACATATCACTGGATATAGCCTGGAAGGAATTTATAAAACTTATTTGAATAACATGCCCAATAATATGAACTCCAGAGAATTATTACATGCCTGTGTAATTTAAATATATATTGTGGGTCGCACAGAACCATTAAATATTATTAATATGTGTATTATTTAATATAATTCACTTTGATATGCAGATTCCATGAAATACTGCCAGAACAAAATGAAGCTAGAAAGATACTGATACTTCGTCAACAACTCATATGCTGAAGACTCTAAACAGCCAATGTTTGCCTGTACTTTTGCAGCTTCATTTTCTATTGTCTTCTGATTTGCTTGCTTTGTTCCTTACCAGCTTGTTCATAATTTCATTTCATTTGTAATTTTATTTGTATGCCACTTTTCCATACACAAAAAATGTGCTTGAAGCGGCTTACAACAAAGAAAACAGGAATCTATTTCAAAATCAAACAGTACAAAAACAATTTCATAACAACATAATAAAACAACAGCACAACAGCAAATATAAAAACATACAAAAACAAAATTTCAGTACTATAAGCAAGATTATGTGAATGACATCCAACAGCAAAAATAACAGCCTGACAGCTTCACCTTCTCCCTTGGTGTTCCTCACCTACTGAAGCTTCCAAAAGCAAAGAGTGGGGTGGTTGGAAGTGCCATCTCGGTGTGTGCGTGTGTGTGCGTTTGGGCACACACTGTGGGTGCTCAGCCGGGCGACCCAATGAGTCATGAGTGTGACGTCGCACAGAGCAACATAGGCACAATCTCCACAAGGGTTCAGCCCAGTTGCTGCCACAGTGCCAGAGAGCCAACAGAGGCAAGGCAGCCAGCAGTGGTGGGCGGAAGCCAAGCAGCTTGCAAGCAACGTGATATCACCCACAATCTGGGGCTCAACCGATGTTTGCTCCAATTCAGCAGTAAAGATTGGGTTTCCCAGGGTAAAGTGGTGGGACAAGCGGAAATCTGGATGAGCCCCAAGCTCAAAAAACAAGGAGCAGAGAGACATATATAATAATTATCAAAAATGTCCATCTGCCTACTTGTAGAAGTGGTACATTAAAAACTGTACGGCTATCGGAAAGCTGTTTCTTACGTACATTATTAACCAGCACATAAAATGTTCAGAAAACAACTATAGGTAGTATTCAGCTAAATTTTACTCTAAGTGAACCCACTTAAATTAATGAACATGACTAAGTTTGAGGGCCTTCTTGGTAGTGGCACCTGTCCTATGGAACTCCCTCCCAGTGGATATCAAGGCAATAAACAACTATTTTACTTTTAAAAGACAACTGAAGGTGGACCTGTTTAGGGAAGTTTTTAATGTCTGACGCTGTATTGTTTTTAATATTCGGTTGGAAGTCGCCCAGAGTGGCTGGGGAAACCCAGCCAGGTGGGCAGGGTATAAATTATTATTATTATTATTATTATTATTATTATTCACCAGCAATAGTGTAAACATGCTGAAGTCAAGTCAGCATCCCAATGGCAAGTTTTTCCCCGCTCTCCAGACAGGCTGCAAGGCTTGGGATGAGTTGGTATCTACCGTTTTTTTTGCTCTATAAGACGCACCAGACCATAAGACGCACCTAGTTTTTGGAAGAGGAAAACACGAAAAAAAATATTCTGAATCCCAGAAGCCAGGACAGCAAGCGGGATCGCTGCGCAGCAATCCCGCTGGCTGTCCTGGCTTATGGGACAGCCCCACGCAGCCTCTCCCAAGCAAGGGGAGCCTTCATCCCCCTGACCGGGAGAGGTTGCATGCGGCTAAGGCTCCCCCAAGAGCCGCACACACGCTCCACGCGGCTCTTTAAAGGGAGCGCTGAGCAGAGCCTCCTGCCTGCATTCGCTCCGTAAGACACACACACATTTCCCCTTACTTTTTAGGAGGGGGAAAGTGCGTCTTATAGAGCGAAAAATACGGTAAATCCCCACTATCACTCACAGCCACCACATATTCTATTGCATTTTCATGCAAACTACAGGCAATAATCATGTGTTCAATCCACATTATGATGGCCATATTAAATTTTATTGCATTCCCTTAGAGACTATGTTAGTAATGCATGCAGAAATGGGTTTTCAAGGTCTACCAGTAAAAGCAGTGGGGTGGGGTAGCAAAACCTAATAATAGTTTTCTAGCATTTTAATCAACAGCTTGATTTAAGGGCTCAGATTATGAAACAGCTTTCCCTATGAAGTGTGGCTGACCCCTTCCCTCACTATTTTCACACGTTACTGAAAAACTTTTAATACCAGACACCTTTTATTTTTTGAAGGCGGCAATGTTTTTATGCATCTTCAACTGCTGACCCAGGGGTTTTTTGTTTTTGTTTTGCAGTTAATGTTATATGTGTTAAAGACTCCCCTGAGTTTTACACTAGAAGGGTGAGATATGACTATTTTAACTAATAAGAGCCAGCTGAAAAATTAGAAGCCCCATGAGGAAACTGCCCCAAATCTCCTTTGCATGGTAGAGCTCCTTATGGGGGATTTAACATATGAAAGCTGCTTTAAATGTTTTAACATAAACACATGGAAGTGTTCCCCACATTAGAAACTGTGCAGAAAGTCTCTCCATGCCAACCCAGTGATGGCAGCTTTCAGGTGGTCATCAGACTGCAGGCAGTGATCACCATTTCCCCAGCATCTACAGAAGTCCAGTGAATCAGTGATGGTTGGATAATGCCTTTGCAATTTATATTAAATGTGAATTGTGGCCAAGGACATATTAAAATAAGCTTGTAGTTAAATTTCAACTATGCTAGCCCCAACTTTACACCCATTATGCAACATTCAAAGACTTCTGATCAAAGCTGTTAAATGTAGTATAATACTTCACACTAATGAATTGCTTTGTGTATGTCTCCAATAAGATTACATCAAGATGCTTTCACTTAGATATCTTACAAACAACAATGAGATTTTTCAGTGCCTTTGAGAACATCTACACTTTTGAAATGCCACACAAAGGAATGCATCGAACAAAAGAAAAAATGGTAATTATACTTTAAATTATTATGCTACAACTAAAATGCCTTGCATAACATCCTCGTTATAGACAAGGGTTAACAGCAGAAGAGGGGCAAAACTCTCTCTACAGCGGTACTGGTTGCATTTAGTTAAGACCATTGCAAAAAGTTTGTAGGCACAGTCCTATCATTGAATTACATTCACTGGATCAGGACAGGACTCCAAATAAACTCGTTGCACCAGCAGGATGCAGAGATACACTATCATAACTGATTTATGCAAAGGAATATGATTAAAACCTATATTCAATGAAAGATCAGTCCCACTCCAAACACTGGTATAATGTTCCACATATAAAAGTTGTGTTTCACCACTGAAGTCAGTAGGAGTCCAAAATTACTGCCCCGGTCATAATGGGAGGTGGCATTCAGACCAGCTTTACAGCCAGTCATAGCAAGCTAGTAGTAATACATAAGATCCAGAAGAATCAGTGCTCAGAATGAAGTAGTCAACTGGACATCTAGAAAGGAAGCTAGACTGTAAACATGAAGGCAATGGTCTAAGGCTTATTAGGCAGATTAAGAGGTGCTGCTGTTGCGAAGGATGCTTGGCCCTTAAAAACTATGACTAAACAATCAGAAGGAATAAACATGAAACTTTTAAAAATCTTTGCTTCTGAAAAGATTTGGTCTCTTCTAACAGGAGCAACTTGCAGCAAGAAGTAAAGGAACAGAAACGAAACAAATGATGCCTTGTGCCTTTAACAGCTATGTGTCTGGCACAAATTAAACAAGCCAAGCCTTTTTAGTATGGAAATACAATTATGGGAAAGTTTCACCAGTTGACATTCTGTCAAACATCTGATAACTTGTGTGCAACGTATAACTTATTTTGGGACTCCCCACATTCTGAATGCTAGGGGGAAATGCCAAAGTTGATTTTTTTTATAAACTAAAAAGTTCATTTTGATAAACTTGAATCGAACTGCCTCCTTTTTAAACAGAAATTCCCAAGCACTGTAAAGAACACACATCTGATATATCTGCTGTACACACACTACCCGCTAAAGCATCCGAAAGCATAAGCAACAGCTCCAATCTCCTGGGATACTGCTGGTGTGATAAGCCAGTCAACTGCATGAACTGAGGAGGGGCAGGAGAGCAGAACAAGGTCAGAGATGAAAATAACAAGCAACTACTGAGAACTTGGGGCAGTGCGGCAGAATGGGATGATGGAGAAGAGCAAAACTAAGTTCGTGGGTGAGATGACGTGAAACTGGGGACTCCGTGGCTCTCAGCTCATTCTCTTAACCATCACTATGTACACTAGCATTTGAATAAACTTTTAAATAATTGAATCACTTCATTTATTCATTGGGGGGAGTCCAAACAGCTTGCTTAAAAAAGCTGTGGCTCAGCAGAAGTTTTTAAAACCTCTTGCAGTTACACCCAATTATTAGTCTGCATTTTCTTGGATGAGCATTCATACAGCCATAAATATTAATAACTGAACTTTCTTAAAGCTTGTCTTCAGCTGTTCCATCATATTAACAGCAAACAAGATGGTATGTTTTAATATTACTTAGCCATCTGAATAAAAGACTAAACACCTTTTGGGGATTTGACAGATCATTTACTAAAATACAATGAACCCTCAACTTACGGAACCCAGTTGTCACAAAATTGTGAGCAAGCTTTAAAGTAATAATGGCTGTTTCTTGCATGACGAATCTAATACTGTCAAAATCATATTTGCCTATTTTTTTCTTGAATTATCAAGGAAGCTAAAGTTAGGAAAACAATTATCTCTACATAGATGAGCTGTCAGAAATAAACTGAAGGAATTCTATAATTTTACTTGTACCATCAGGTTCAATAGTTCAGTGCAGTAACCCCAGATGCTCTGCAAATAGAGCAAACCAGATACCACTACAGTCTTCTAGCAAAACCCTTTGATACTTGAGAATTCACAACCCCCACGTATGGAGATATAATTTGAAGAGTGTTTCTGCAAGTACCTGAGACCAGTCGATTTCAAAGGATGCACACATTTCGTCAACTGGAGCCTCTCTGGAGGCTGCTAGTGAATCTTAGTTTGCATATATTATTAGCATAATACATTTGTTTTTCCGCAATATATGGACAGGGCGTGTTGATGAGCAACATGAAACTTCAGGGGTTTTTTCCCATTCAAGAATGGTGCTTGCATTCCAGTCTTCTCTTCCCTGCTATGCTTTCTGGTGCCTTTAAGGGGCAAAAAGGCAGCTCTTCTGTCATTCCACTGTCCTGGGATACTTCATTAATTTTGGGTTGCTGTACCTACACAGCTTCTTGCCTTGTTATCCTTCAGTCATGCAGCTTGCAGAGGGGTGGGGCACAGATCCTTGAGGGCTAGGATGGAAGCATTATTATTCTCACAAGGCCACGACCTTCTTCTGCAGATTGGAACATTAGCTACCTTCTCTGACATAAATGTGATGCTTGGCACAGGGGGGAAATTAAATTCTATCTGTCCCTTCAGTGACAGCAATTTCTAATTTATTCTGCCTTCACAAAATAGAGAACATATATAGAATTATAATCAACCTTTTTTTAAACCAAAGAGTTAAAACACATTCTGATTTTTGAAATTCGGAGCTCTTCCATAGTTTGCTTCTCACTGTGACTTTAGCTTCAAGTTGGAAGCAAAAGAAAGCGGCAGTTGAGGGAACTGGACCTGGAAAATCTAAGAAACTTTCAACCTAATTCCTATAACACAAAGTGGGGAAGTTTGGGGAAGTCCATTCACACAAAAGGGTTCACCAGGAAAATAGTCCTTAATATTTTCAATACTTAGTCCTGTTTCATGACAAGTAATGCAGACTTATCCCAACCCCACTTCCTGATCATTAGTAATTCTTATCAAGTCCTGCCCAGTGTTCCAATGCAACCTATCCTGCGTGCAGAGTACCCAGTATGCTGATCATGAGATTATAAAAAACTTGTAAAGTATTTTATGAAATAAGTACATGTTCCTGTAACTGATGCCTCATATCCTAGAGAAGGAAAATATGGTTTCGGTATGCTTCAGAAAGGCCATAGCTGATAACATCATTATAAGAACTGTGAATAACTAATGATGTTGGAAAGTAGAGAAGCAGTTAAATACACGTGGGAGGGGGAACTAAGAGTTAATACTGAACTGCAAGGAAACTAACTTGTAACTAAATTGTAAAAAAAAAAAAGTGCTGAAAAATTCAGAATGGTGCAACATACGTTAAATAGCTAAGCTTTGATTTGCACATGATTCCAAAAAGTACAGATCAATACAGTTCATACGGGAATTGGCAAAGAATGCATTCCTCAAGCATCTCTATATGACAATATAGATTCTTCACACAGAATGCAGCAAATTAAATCATTTATCCATTTGCTAAATTAATTTACCTGGTTTTCAATTGATACCTTTGTCACTTAATATGTGCCACATTACAAAGGTTCATATGTATGGATTAATTTTGCTGAGACAAACCATCTTTTTAATTTACTTTTTGCTTTTGTTATTGCTGTGTGGGGTGTTTTTTTTTTGGAGGGGAGCTACATTTAGCTGAAATGAGGACATTAGATATAAATGTTAGTTGCATAATCTTTAACAGGGTCTCAGGAGTATATCCACCAGTATTAATTGTGTTAGCTAAATAGAAACTGAAGATTGAGATACAGGATTCATCTGAATATTAGTTTTTGGGGTTGAGGGCAAAACAGCACAGATCTGGTTGACCAGTTGCCAACTCTGGTAATATAGTTTAAAATAAAATATTATCTGATCCAGCAGGGATCTACTTCTATGCTTCTTCAAACTTGGCCAGACAGGTCCAGATATTACAAAGCTTGTTTGTTGCTACGGGTCAGGCGTTTCTCTAAGTTGTGTCCTGTAGCCTAGTTTGGGGCCTGCACAGCTGTCTGAAGCCTTATTATTATCATTGTTTTGGAGCTCTTCTCCAAAGTAGATTCTCCAAGAGGTGAAATGTTAATGATACAACTTGGTTAAAGTTGCCATCTCTTAGCCACTATAATACAGTCACTTTTATTTCTGGAAAAGAGATGTCAATCAAAGCAAGTATGTTGTGTTTGAGCTAGGGGTATGCTAAATATTTAGACAGATCCAGAACCAAAGTGGGACAGCTTAAGACAGATTATGGGCTTGTTTGAATCAAGGCAGGATGCCCAAAGCACCCTGAACCAAAGCAGAGACCATCAAAGCACCTCAAACCATAAAAGAGTTGGATTTTTTTAATTAAAAAGATGCTGCGATTTGTCTGCAAAAACTGAAACATTTCCTTCCAAGATTGCTATATAACCACAGTGAGGACAGGTGTGGAGGAAATCTCTTTTGTATAGGACAGGTCTAGCTTCTAATGAGAAATATTTATTTTATCGGGGTCTCCAATCACACACTTTTGGGGAAGTGATGCTAAAGTAATCACCTTCTTCTTGCCTGTTCTATTCTATCCTCTCTACTTGCTCTATACAGGTGGTGTTTGCTTGGGAAAAGCTGGATATTCAAGTTCTTTTATCTTTGTGTCACTACTCCTATCCACTCATCATTTACTTCCTGTGGATTCTGATGCCAACTGAGTAGAACACAAGGCTGAAGTTTCTGCCTAAGAAATAATAAAGTTATAGATGGCTCTTTTTGGGGAAGGGAGGATAAAATTTTAAATGTGTCCAAAACAAAAACCCTGAACAAGTTTGTCTCTGATTTGGAAAACTTTATCCACTCAGAAGGAAATTTAATTCATTTCTGTTGAAAAGAAAAAAGCTAGCATTTTTTAGTTTTCATTTTTCTGAATCAAAATTTGGACCCCAAGCTGAACCAGATAGCCTTTGAACTGCTTCAGTTCAAATAATTATTTTTTCAAAGGATCTCAAACTTTATAGTTGATCCACACACCTAATTTGAACTGTGGTGCTTCTTTATATATTTTTTGTGAGCAGCAAGGAATAAGGTGATAGTTCTGAACAACTGAAAGATATAATGTGCTCTTCTTTCAACCACTTCTAAATGCTATTTGATGTTCTTACTCATTGTCTTGTTTTACAAAGTAGTTGTCAGATATGTGCAATTAAGACCACATACTCACTCCAACAAACCTTATGTGATTTTGAAAGAGAATTGTGTCTGCATTCTTATCTATTCCACTCTGATTTGCCTACACATAAATAAGTATCTAGACATCAACCTGTTGTAATTATATCTTTTCAACTTTTACAAATCTTAAAGAGTTAAGGGAAAGAAAACATTTCTATTTTGGACTGAAGAGAAAGCTATTTGTTTTTCAGTGTGCCTGAAAACATCCCATTAGTAGCAAAATGGATACCCTTTTGTAACCCCAACAAGAGACTTCAAGGGCTGACAAGCTAAGGTTTGGTTGCAACATCAAAACCAGAAGGTGACACTAGTAGGTAGCTGCCATAAAATATCAGACAATATTTAGAATTCACAACCACATTAAGATATGAAAAGGTAAGCAGACAGGGAAGTAGCTGGGGTAGACAACCCTGCCCTATATCATGGTTAACCCATGGGCCAGAGCAACCAGTATGCTGAAAGAAGTGGCCTCCACACACTAGCAGCTTTATCTGCCAATGTGAATGTAAAGTGCTCTACCTGATCTTTAGAAAGTTATCTTTAAAGAGAAGACTTGGGGTAGAATTCAACATAGCACTAAGTGAACCTTCCATTAGCTGAATACTTTAGGCTCTCACAATGGAATGTTCTTCCTTGTACACCATCTAAGGGTTCAAGGGTTCTCCTAACCTTCTGGATTTGGAGAGGGTACAAAAGACACAGGCAGGGAGAGGAGAACAAGCAGAAATTCTTTTGCTGACAGGATGTGGTAACGAAATATCACCACCAGTGCTTTATCTCCCTATCTTTGCCATATTTGATGTGCCCCACATGTTTCATAAGCAATAGTATAAAGAGATACTGCAAGTGATAAAACATACAATATATAAAAGAAATAATTTTAACTGAAAACTACCTGTTGGCAACCATGGATCTGATGAGGGCTTTACCAATGTGTTCACTTGATCCCAGTTAAGGTCATCATCATCAGACTGACTATATCCACATGATGCAAAAGGTTCATCGAATGAACAGCCACCTGTTAAAAAGAAAAGAAATAAAATAACTTGAATGCATTCTTTGACTCCTGCATTTTAATTTTAATTCCCTGCTTGCAAATCTGTTACTACCTTGAACATCACAATAGAACAAGTTCCCCCCAATGAACCCAGCATAAACTTGTTTCCAAACTATCATTAATTTTAATTACAAATAAGTCAGT